CTGTAGTCCCGCCCACAGTGCTGTAACCTGACACCAGTCTCTGTAGTCCTGCCCACAGTGCTGTAACCTGACACCAGTCTTTGTAGTCCTGCCCACAGTGCTGTAACCTGACACCAGTCTTTGTAGTCCCACCCACAGTTCTGTAACCTGACACCAGTCTCTGTAGTCCCGCCCACAGTTCTGTAACCTGACACCAGTCTTTGTAGTCCCACCCACAGTACTGTAACCTGACACCAGTCTCTGTAGTCCCACCCACAGTTCTGTAACCTGACACCAGTCTCTGTAGTCCCGCCCACAGTGCTGTAACCTGACACCAGTCTCTGTAGTCCCACCCACAGTGTGGTGGTCTCTGTAGTCTACTCTGGAACCAGAACCAGTCCTTCAGATCTTGTTGGTTTGGATGGAGGTTCTGAGTGTTGAGGCTGATCGGGTTCTACAGGAAACTGAAGAGTTCTGCTGATGGTACCGGTCCATCTGAAACCCAGTGAACTGACTCTGCTGGTTCTTCTTCTTCCAGGTGACGGTCCAGGACTCTCAGCTGTCTCACCTGACCCGGGACCGGGTCAAGATCCCTCACAACCGCCGGCTGCCGACCCGAGGACACCTGCTGGCTGTGGTTGGTATCACACCTCTTCCTCAGATAGGATCATTTGAACAATGAGCCAGAACATTTTGACCACCTGATGAGGTCCAGACCCTCCAGGTCTCTGTGGTCTCGGCAGCAGATCCTGAACCTCTGGTTTCTGGGGTGGTTCCCCTCAGAACCAGCTGGTCCTGGTGGGAGTGGGTCAGATGTTTGAGCTCATAGTGCCGTTGCAGACCTATAGAGCCATTTGTTGGTACCGTTCCTGACCCGCCTCCTCTGTGTCCAACAGGCCTCCACCTCCTCCCCAGACGGGGTGCTGACTCTGGACCTGATCCAGGAGGAGGACACTGCGTCTCATCTTGGCCTCGACATGGGCTTCAGGGAAGACCCGGAGTCCCTCCTCGGTCCAGACTGTCCCAGGTCCAGAACGGACGGCGAGCTCTCGGCTCGTGCTGCCGAGCCTTCTGGGAAGTCTCAGAGTCTTCCTCGGGAGACGGTGGTCTGGGAGAAGGCGGGCCAGGTCCAGACTTCCCCGTCAGATCAACGTCCCCCCACCGCCGAGAAGAACCGTTGCTCCTCCATGGACGAGATTCTGACTCCCTCAGAGTCCAAATCAACGAAGACCAGAACCCCGGTGACCTCGCCGCGCTCAGGCTCCGCCCCCTCCGACCCAACAGCACCAATCAGCCGACTGCAGGAGCTCATCAGCCAGAACCTGGAGCGGACGGAGCGCCTGCTGACCGAGGTCCGGGCTGACGGGGAGCCAGCGAAGTCCAGCGGGGTCAAAGTGTCTCCTGAGGGGGCACAGGCCCAGACACAGAGACTCCTGCAGGAGGCGGTGGACACCTGGAACCAGGCCCAGGAGGTCCTGGAGGAGGTGAAGGAACTGAGGGCGTTGTACCGACAACTAGACTCCTCCTCCTCATGGTCCCCCTCCAACAGCTCCAAACTGAGCCAGAACTGCAAGAGCCTCATGTAGGCCGGCAGCTTGGACTGGTCCAGGACAAGACACAGAACTCAGACCCGGGTCTGGGTCTACGATGAACCACTTTCAGGTTCTGTTCAGAGTCCGTGTTCAGGAAATGTTTTTGAAAGTTGTAGTGGGTCCCAAGACCGGACTAAACCTGACCCACATAAACCAGACTGAAGAGGACTCTGTGGTCCAACCAAACCAGGTCCAACAGAGTCCATCAGGTCCAACAAAACCAGGTTCAACAGAGTCCATCAGGTCCAACAAAACCAGGTTCAACAGTGTCCATCAGGTCCAACAAAACCAGGTCCAACAGAGTCCATCAGGTCC